GCAGAGGGGGTAAGGCGGGGTACTGTTCACAGTTCACAGTGAAAATAACTGCTTTTCACATTTCACAGTGAAAATAATGCTCTTTTCACAGACACGGGGATAATCCAGTTTACAGCTAAAAATTTCAGACACTTTAAGAACCAGCGAAGCTAGGAACCTGTCTACTAACCGTCTAACGTCATAATCCTCATTACCTCCCTGATCATCTCGCGAAAATTTGGGACTGCGGAAATGAACTACGCGCGTGATGAAACTACGCTATAAAACGGCCGATCACGTTCCACGAAAATACCTTACCCACCTCAAAATAACACAGCCTCTGTCTTCACTGTCGTGACAAAATTTTACCTTGTAAATGATATCATGGACAAAATTGCACCTCCCACAGTTGTGTAAGTAATATGAGCAATAAGTACATATATATATGTAAGTGGTTCTTGATATGTACAGTGTCTCTTTTTACTTCATGCAAGCTACCATTAACAAATTGTAGGGGCAGGGTCTCGCGAGAATGAAGCGGCATCCTATATAAACGTCACCTATTACTCTAAGTATTCTAAGACATTCTAAGTATTCTAATTACTGTTTCGCAATGAATACTTTGAGTACAATGAGAATGGTCGGAAGATTGTTGGAAAAAATTCTCACTTTAATGTATGTGGTGGTAAATGACATGCCTTGCTTCAAGATTGAAGCTAATTTGCAACATCTGTAAATCCTCTGACTAATTAATTGACGTGTAATTTAACTGCCAACTGACCGCCTTAATTTCTAGCCGAGTTTACAGAGGGTTACAGCTTTAGCGTATTTATACTTAATACAAAACAAGGCAGAAATGCTTAAATGATTATTTTATTTGAGATATACGTAATTGTTCGGCAGTTTTTGTAGAGGTACAAGATTTTCCAATGGATGGATGTCAGGCTGTATATTGACGTCAGTTACACAGCCTGGTCGAGTTAATCGAACTCTAGCACCCCAACACGTGCTGGTAAACCTGTCTGCAAAACC